GTCACCGATTAGCGGGTAACCAGGCCTCGACGCGTCGCGAGGCGGGAAACCACGACGCGACGCGCCGTCGCGCGTTTATTACTCCTTTCTTCATTTATGTTTATTTTCAACTAAGACGGGGGAGGACGCGTACAGCGATCATTTAATAATCATTTAGATCAGACCATTAAGTACTCTGTTAACAAAGAGTAGGTCAGCTACGTTCTAATCAAATTTAATTTGGTTAGAAAAATTAAAAATTTGTGTTGTGGTCCTTGAAGAGCGTGAGCGTAGGTATTGTAGTAAGGGGGCATATTCCAAAATTGGTCTAACCAGCGTACAGTAAAGTAATCGTAGCGTGTTCGTATTGAATTTGGCCTATTCTCGTCGATCGGATGGATGCACCCTGGTTCATTCGCGTGGATCCTCTAGATAGGCGGCGGTGGCGGCGGCGATGAATCATCCGTCTCGGTAGATTAGTATGTAGCCGGCAAATTCTTCCTTGGTGGATCATCGACCAGTCTGGTCAGACTTTTTGACGGCCGGTCTCCTCGCTATCGAGCTACGTCATCGAACTTTTGTCTGCATATGCTTTTGATGAATCGTCGCGGTCGGTTCGCGGCAGAATCCCGCGACAGCGCAGCGGGCGAAGAATTTTATACGCCGGCGAACGAGCTTCCGTGGCAAGCTTTTACGACCGATTTATGGGTGTTTCCAGCGAGACGGTCAGGTGGCAAAGTCATTTCTTAATGCTCCGCGACGAGGGTCCGTGGCTGTTTCGGCGAATTGCCGGAGAATCCGTGCGATGGTGTCCCAGCGGGACCAGCTCCGCGTGAGTAGCAACGAAAAGGAAAAACACGCGAGCGGAACGGGGAACGGTGAGCGGCGTGCAGAGCGAGCGGCGAGCCAGAGTAAGGGGGATAAACACGCTCCCGAACCACCAACCACATTTACGTAAACCATGCTTCTGTGCCTCTACCAACTCTATCGGATGTTTACGAAGATGCTGGTCAAGATGAACTGCATCCCGCTCTCGCTTCTCCAACAATTACAGTCGACGACCTGCCGCGAGTCGTGGATCGCGTTCGCATTGAAAACCTCCGCGGTCGACTAATCGAACACGCTCTGCTCCTTTTTTATCGATTCGAGTAGGTACTTATCGCGTTGCACCAATTAATCGCCAATGGAAGGACTACGCGCACAATCCATTCGTTAGAGAAATACTTTTCCTTTTATTCCTTCGTTTAATGGTATCCCCTTTAGGATACATACAGGCTGTTCTAGAAGCCAAAATAAAATGGCAATCAAGAATATCAATTTCTCGATTGAGGCTTTAAAAATTAAAAAATTTTTAATCATTCACGGAAAAATTATTTTCGGTTGCGGGGGTCAATTACAATCATTTTTGGTCATTACACATATCCCCAAAATCTTACGTACTTTCGAAAAAAAAATTCTTTACCGAAAATATACTGTGTGGCCCAATCAACAAATTAGTATCCTTGATTTTCGTCTTATTTTGGCCTCTAAAATCTCCCATTAATTTTTCCCAAGGGTGGCCGAACACCCTGAATATGATTAGAAAGAATGCGAAAGGTCGGTAAGAAGTTTGAAAAGAAATTGTTCGAGTTACTGAAAAAGTTGAGGGTCTGAATGGAAATCGTTCGAGGAAATGCATAATACTAAATCTCGGTTTCCCGGATACCGTCACGCAACGGAGGGATTAGAAAAGGAAAGAGCTTAGGAAACGAACAACGCCGAATTATCTGTTGGTGGTTTATCCTTGACGGCGCGGTTCGTCCCACGTTATCGTTTTAAAAGAGCAAACTGGTGCAGGTGTTGGGACACGCTTACTTCCTCCGACCAGTTACCATAACACTTTCCGATTTTCGTAATCGTGGTGACTCGAGCTTCGTGTCCCCCCTAACTTCGCGCGAGTTAGTATCTAAACGACGTATAGTACAACTACCGTGAACCGATGGTAAAACAAACGTTTCTGCACTCGATCGTGCAGCAATACTTCGCAACGTTTGTCTCCTCGAGAACTGGATCACGATAGATCGCGGACGAGCGCGATCGTGCCGACTAAAAATACATCGATACGTCGAATCGGGGAAAAAGGCGACTATGCGCAGCCTGACAAACATTAACGATTGAACGTGTATCGGTTACAGAAGGTGTTTCATGATATGTGGCACATACAACGATCGACAGGTGTTCTACATGCATAGATATATCGATATTATAAACGATGCTCCACAGTAGACAGTGCTTGAAATCTAGGTATATCATTTTTACGTTATCGCAATATTGCAAACCAAGGTCTCTAAGCTCTTGGCCTTGTTAATAGAGTAGCGCAATATTTTAACGACGCAGACATGTTAGAAATGCTTTATTACATTCTCGTCCTCGTTTAGAGCGTTGTTCGTTAGCGTGGTTTCCTTGCTCCAACAACCATGGTATCATTATTGAGAAAGTGCCACGCAAATTCCTTCCTCTTATTGCTTTTCCTATGGGTTGTCCTATTCCAATAACATGTCATAATTACGAAATCGTGCTGTCGCGTATGGATTTAACGACTCTTGAGAAATTGAAAGTGGCGTTCGATATCCTTTTTTGTACGCAAGGTGCTGCACAATCGTACTACGAGTCTAGATATTATCCAACAATCTCAATTTTATGTTCCCTCTAAAAAGCTAAAACAGCATACTTTGCTGTATCTGGAATCGTATCGCACGTGATACGGTAAATTAACTTTTCCTTATATTCCAGTTACACCTATGCATTCTCTATCGAAAGGTTCCTCTATTAATAATACTAATAGCGACTGATTCTGCTAAACTGGTTACGTACAATGCTCGATAACTTTTTTTATTCCTGCTTAATTGCATGCCTTAAGAAAGTATTTCGATATTATAAAATCCCGTGTATTTAATCGTCCAAAATAAATAGGCCATGCAATATGACTTGCACGATTTATCTATCCGTTAAAAAAAAGAAATATCGTTCGCTCGAGAACTAGTCTAATTACTCGACTGAAATGGGACAGTGCATCGTTACGTATAAATCGCATGCAAGGTACAACGTCTAATGGAATATCTTCCGATAATTTATGCGACCGATTTCTTAACAACTAGGCCTATCGTCGATTTATTTTAATGCCCCGTTAAGAGAAACAAGAAGTTATCGAGCACTGTATAGAAACAGTTTAGCAGAATGTTCGCGAAAGCGACGCGTAGGAAGTCTTGTTCGTTTAAAAGTTTCATTTCCGCGGTACGGTGGTTGCTCGTAAGACGAGAGACGACCTGGTCGCGCGATTCCCGTTTAATAACGCCAAGATCGAAGATTCGCGGCAGAAACCGCGAGAAGCAACTACGCGTTCAATTGCTCCATTACCCGACGCGGTAATTCCAACTCGGACTTGTCGGCCTGTACAAGTAAATCGCCGATGGAACGCGGCAGGTTTACCTTTGTAAATTGGCGCAAAAAGGACGAATCGCGATCCCGACGACAGCCGTCCTGTCTCCTTTTCCTTTCCTTTCGTCCCGTGGGGTGAAGAAACCGCCGACTACCGTAGAATTAAGGTGTTCCCCGAAACACCGTGAATCGGTGGCTAAACGCCAACCGTATTCTTCGCCACGGAATTGTTTCTGCTTTCGTTTCTCTCGAATCCGCGACACGGATCAAAGATCTTGGAAATTCCTCTGCAGGATAAAAAACTTTATTGCATCGTACGTGGGGTCTAGGAAACGCACGCGTTCTCGACTGCTACGAAACGTTGTACGCAAAAGTCGAACGCGTCGTTGAGGTTTTGGTAGGGCAAACACCCTTGCGGTATCGATTCCGCTCGAGCCTTGGTGTAATAAAGAGCGGCGCCCAAGAGCCGCGGTATTTCCGAGGTCGTACCTGTAGACGTCGGGTTGAGAATTTTGACGCAGATAAAAGCGCTTCGCGACCGGTTGGCGTCTGCTTCGCCAAGGTCGATCTAATCTTGGCCACCATAGGTAAGAGGAATCGCATGGTCGCGACGAATGCGCGCACGCTGTACATACTCGAACGTTAATAACGAACCAGCCGGGCGACGAAACTGCAACGAATTCGACGCGGTTCTCGGAACCAGACCGGACCGGACCGGATCGGAGCGTCATCGACGAGAATCGCGGAGTTTATTGCCAAGGACGTACCGCGAAAGGATATTTCCAGGCAAATCGTCGCGAATAAATTGTAGAATCTTCCCGTCCTGTCGGGATCTTCGTTTCGCGTTTCGATCGTCCATGGCGGAGCCAACGATCCTCCCGCGAGATTTTTCTGGAATATTTGCGGGAAACGAGCGCGAAGCACCAGCGAGGCGGCGATCCATCGTGCACCGACGACGAAAAACGCAAGTAAACGTGTACGAGCGGCGATGCGGGGCGACGGTGCAGGCGTAAATAGAAGCGGCCGCGCCACGAGGGAAGTACGATCGTGCCCCGTAAAATCGAGCCACGACGATCTTAATCTTCGTCGACAAGGTCGATACCAGGGAACTCGAGCAGACTTTATGGCTTTCGGTTTCGACGTTGGCAGCGAACGTTCTCGAACCGGACGCGAAACGAACGGAGATTTTCGAGCGTCGATCGCGCTCCGATCTCTCGAAAAAAGCGCGCGCGCCGACGATCTAGATTCAAACTAGAAAAGATATCGAGGCGTTGACCAAAGTTATTAAAAACTAATAGTTATTATTTAATTTATTTTTAACGTTGCCAGTTGTTTCAACAAGCCAAGTTGAAGATTACTCGTTTGACGTATTACTCGACGTTTTTGGGTTAAATGGTTTCCTCGATCGGAAGCACTGTGCGACAGGCCGTCTACCGATCCGGCGCGGCGACGCGGTTTGCATATCGATCGATCCTCGCGTCTGCTTAGCTCGATTCGACGTCTGCGCCGGATGCTCCCCGGTCTAGCATCGTCGCCGGTGCGTACGCGTTCACGGTAAGCGCGAACAAAGGGCTCCGGTGATTTACAAAAGGTTCGCGACTCACCGTATTAGTGACGTCCGCCTGCATACCCGAGTCCTCCTCGATTCCAGCTTCGACGAGATCCTCCTCCTTCTCATTGTCCGAGGTATTCAGGTACTCGTCGTAATCCTGCTCGAGACTCTTGGTCTTTGCTCGAGCGTCTTCGATCTTCGGCCTGGGTTTCTTCTCTCGTCGATCGGCGCTCGTCGTTGGGGATTTACGCTCGGTGAACGCGTTCGGCAACTTCCTGGACGGATCGTCGACGGTCTTCTTGCCGGGGCTCGTGTATCGCGAACCTGCGGCGATTTTGTCGCGAACGGGCAGTGGTCTGGAAAGGTTCCTCGAGTCGTAACGGAAATTCCCGAAAGCGAGCCGTTTCGCGTAATCGTGCGCCTCGATGTTCCTGTACTCTCTCTTGACGGTCGGCCTGAGCGTCGTCGGATCGTCGGACGTCAACCTTTTGATGATGTCGTCGTACGTCTCCAGAAGCGGCTTCTTCTGTCTCTTGTAAAAATCATTGTCGAGCTCGTCGTCCGTTTCCTTGGAAGCCTCCTCCTCGTCTTCGTCGTCGTCCTCCTCCTCGTCGTCCATTCCTTCCGCGTGGGACTCGTAATCTCCGGAGGTTAGATTGTCGTCGTAGTCACGGGACGTCTCGGTTTCGGTCCCGGTGTCAGGCTCCGGCTCGAGTTCGGTCTCGAGCTCTAGCTCTTCCTCCTCGGATACATAGTCGGACTCGCGATTCCTCGAATAGCCGAGTCTCCGGTTGGTCCTGTCGTACCTCAGCTCGTAATTTCTCCATCCGTATCGAGAAGAGCCTCTGCGTCTCTCGTCGTCGTCCTCATGCCAGCCGGTTCCGCGATAACCCCTGCGATAGTGGTACCCGACCGGGTACCGCGGTGCGAACGTTCGCCCGTGAACACCGAGCCTCGGCGATCTTTTGTAATAGATTCGAGCCTCGTAATCGTTCGAGTAGTCGTCGACGTAGTCGGGCTCTCGCGGCCAGGACGATCGACCGTTCGCGAGCTCATGACGATTTTTCTTACCGATAAAGGACTCGTGTCTGTGCCTGTGTCGATGTCTCGCGTCGTTGGCCGTGTTCTCGCGTCGACGATGCCTAGCCTCGGCCGCGAACAAACCGTAAGCCATCAGAAGGATCAAGAGCAGCAGCAACCTCCTGTCGCGCGTCATTTCGTCTGGCAAGTCGTTCTCTCGGCCACCTTACATTATACCAGCCACACGATGCTTCTTCGGTCGTTTCTCCCTGGCGAAATCAGCCTCTCTCAACGATACATCGCGATCGTCGCGCAGCTCGGCTCACGTTGATCCGCGACTCGCCGGTGCCGCTGCCGCGATCGAGACATCAACGCGTTCGCGCAACGATCGACGATCTCTATCAGCCGGCCGTCCTCGACGTTGTCAGAATCGGTCCACGTGGGCGCGTACGCGACACGGGAGGAACCACGAATATCCGTTGGACGCGCAGCAGCTGCGTTTCAGCCGCGTTTCAGTTCCCTCGATTCGACAAAAATCGAGCCGCGAGAGCAACGGTAATCTTTCTTCCGCCGTCGAATACGTCTGGTTGCTTGGTCTATCGTGGTCTCGCGGTTCGCTTCGCGTCCATCGTGTTTCTCGACAACGCGCTCCCAGCGATCGCGGACGGACGGACCTACCTCTCTCGATCCTCTCCCAATTTAACAGATCACCGATCGCGAGTCCTGGCCGTCGATCGGTACACGGTGCTCTTTTTCTCTCTGTTCCCTCTCGTGGCTATCCTCCGGAGTGCAGCGCGCAGAGATTACACCGAATCGTATCGCGGACCGAATGTCGCGGGCGACTGAGGCCAGCCTCTCCGGCCGCCGGCCTGAGAGATCGCGGAACGCATTGCGCATGCGTACGGGCGATATTCGTCTCTCCCTCCCCCCGTTCCTGCTGCCCGCCGCTCCCACCGCCACCCTCGACCGCCGCTTTTCTGCGCCCCTTTCGTCCCTCACCTGTGCGGCAGTCTCACCCGTCTGCCGCCGCAACACCAGCCTGCACGCGGTCTTCCACGGGATCCCATGTACGAGATGCACTTCCGCTCGCACGCGATAAACGACTTCGTACCAACGCGTTGCAACAGCCTCTCTTTTCGCGCAATTGCTGCTCCACCCTCCTCGACATTCAAATTGGACCGCGCTCCTCGAATTTCCCGCCTTTATCGTTACGCTCGAACACCTGAAAACGATCTACGGCGGTTCATCGGGGTTCATCGCGTTTACGCTAATTGCAAACACGACCTGTTTACGATAGTTTGGTAACGGCAGAGTTTGCGCAAGGATCTGTGTATGGGAGATGGAGGTAAAGTGAAACGGCGGTACGTCATCCTGCGCGTTTTTCTTTATCTCGGCGTATCGGTCGCGACAGCCGGTACATGTGTTTCCGTCACGCTTCGCGGCCGATTCGCGTACCGTCGCGCGTCCTCTCGATTTTACGATCGTCCGTGCGAGCGACGGGAGCTCGACCGACCGCCCTTTCAGCCGCGCCCACTCCCATTCACTTTCGCGTCGCCATTCAGAGATGATAGCCAGGACCACGAAATCCGGTCGAGCGGCGCGACGCGAGAACGAGAGGTCGATAGGATCGCGAGGCGACGCGACGGCAGCCTTACAACCGGTACAACAGGGACTGGTTTTTCGTCGCGTACGGAGAGGTCGTCGGATGGTTTTTGTCGCCCTTTTAAGCGGGCCGCGATGCCCGCCGCGATAACTAAACCTCGGCTAGTCCCGCTCGACGGCTTCCGCTCCGATTCGATTCGATCCTCGATAATGGTGCACGCTCACGACCTATCGCGACAATCCATCCCCGATACGTCGTCGATTCTTTCTGCTACTCGACCGAGAAATCGAAGGTGGGAAGTTGTACGTCGTTGGAAGAGAATGTATCGGCCACCGACCCAAACGTTTTTCCCTATCGGTACTTTTAATCGTCGTTTCGTTTTCGAACGGCAAGATCTCGTGCGGTGAGGGGGATGTGTCGAGTCTGTAAAACACTGGCGAGGAATGCAATCGCTTGCTCGCGTTGCTCCGCCGAAACACAAAGTGCAATCGTGTTTCATAGCACGAAGCGGTACGAGAGTACCGTAAAAGTTGGAAACATCGAAGTTGGATCGGACAGTCTATCGACTCCTCGTTACCATATTTATTATCCAGTGGATACGACACGAACGTTACTCCGTTCGAAGAGTATACTTTAAGAGTATACTGAAAACTGTTTCCCAGGTTCAGGAGGTTATCTCCATAGATTATGCTTGTAGGTCACTTTGCTATTCCCCGGAACAGAGCTTCGCGTGCCAGCGAAACGAGTTTTCATCGTAAATTGCGGTCGATTCTTTTTCTCTTTCGATCTCCGCTAATTATGAAACGCTTCGCGGCCAACGACGGGCTAAACTAACGTAGAATTAAGGTCAACGTCGTCGAATCTATCCGTACAACTTTCGCAACGAGAAGAGACAGACGTTCTCTCCAGTCAAACGTATATTAACAAAAAAAAAAAAGAACAATTAAATGTCTTGATTGACAACCTACGTTAAACTACCAATATAGAAGACAATTCTTAAACCAATCTGCGCATACGTCAGTCAATCGTGGGATACAGCATCCGACTGCAGCGTAAAAATAAAATAAAAAATTAAGAATCATCGTAAATGCAGACTGGTATGGAAACCGGCATCCCTACAGTGAGGGAAGAAATTGCTCGTCTCAGCATGAGATACCAGCACCGACTGCACCTTCATCCTAATAGACTCGCCACAAATCTCCTGGACACGTTCGGTGAACAGGAAAGACTGAAAAACCATCGTTTCTTGCAACAACCCTTCGGTTTCGACGACGCAAGCTCGTAAATGTCACTGAATTTATTCACGTTCCATACGCAAACTGCCACGATCGGCGCTAAATATAATTAGTTTATAGATTCGACCAGGGCAGATAATAAATATCAAAAAGCCATTATACAACAGTTTATCTCGAGAGAAAATTTTTCATGGTATTCGGAGCATTATCTTAAACGTTATACAATTTTCGACTGGAATCGTTGACGTTCGCTGCGGCGAAAGAAACAAATCTTTCGTGGAAACAATAATAATGGTATCGATTCCAAGCCCCCCGAGATGAACGACCCCTTGACCCCTGGCCGATTGCACGCGCCTGGACGTGACTTTACGATCGCGAATACTCTCGCGCGATGAATCCTATTTTGCACGGTGCACCTGCGAACCACGCCAACACAAAGACCGACGAGAAACGCGCGTTCGAGTACGATTGTGATAACCGGAATGCGCTCTTCGGTCTTTCAAGGCCATTCGTTCCCGGCGACCCTCGACACTCGACACTCTTTCTACCCCGCCAACGACACCTCCCACGGCCCTGCGAACCTTTTCTTTTCACCGCTTCACCTTCTCGTGTCCAACATCGAACGGAGAAACGAAAAAAGAGAGAGAAAGAAAGAGAACACCTATGCCTCTGTTTTTCCGAATATGCTTCGATATTGTCGTTACATAATGAAATTCCGTGAAACGAGTCGCGGTATATCGGGAATACGTAATCGTAAAACAAATGAAAGGGATTAAACGGATGACTTGGCTCCCACCGTCGTATACATATGTATTCCGTGTCGGAACGGTAATCTGAATATTACGGCCACGAAAGCGTTTCGTTGGCAGCAAGGTCTCCCGTTCGATCGAGGATCGACTAAATTTAGTAGGATTATCGAGCAAGCGAAACGAGAATCGACGTGATATTTTTCGGTATTAATCGATAGGTTACCCGACCGTCCTAATCGGAGATTTGGTACTCCTGGTCGGAGCCTTTCAATAAAATCGTACGAGCGTTACAAATTCAACGTTCGTTTTCTATTCTACGACACGCGGCCCGCCTGAGCAACCATTAATTCGCGGGATTAGGAGCGAACGAAACCCACCCAGCTTTTAAATCCTCTTTCCGACTTCCGTCGCGTTCGAGTCGAACCGAGTCACGTCACGAATGGAAAAGGTCTAATAGATTGTCCTACCGTGTCCAAGAATTTGGACGATTTTTCATCGATCCACAGCGATTCGAATTAATATTACAACACTACGATTTCGAGACGTTTGTACCCAAGATATTCGAACAATCGCTTCTCGATATATTGCAAACACTTGTTTTAGGTGTTATTCGGTTCGTGTTATGGAAATAACTGTGTACATTAAATAAATAAAATTTATATTTTTACTAATTACAGTAAGTGTTTTAACAAAATGCCGTTGGATAAGTTTGGTATAACGAAAAATATAGTGCGATATTATTAATTCGATACGCTATACGTGCACCCGTGAACGAAGGAAACGGCGGAAGAACGAACGGCACGGAAACAAGTTTCGTAAACTTTTTGCACATGATTTTATTTGTTCGTTATCAAACGCGGCGCACCGGCACCGTATTACACGCACGCAAATCCTTTTGCTTGCAAATACACGCGTTACACAGCTTACTCGTAGAGATTATTACAGTTTTTATTCAGCACCTATGTCTGAGATACGTCGAAGGCAGGTACAGGAGATACGTCGGTGAACACTAAAGTGGTACGATGCGTAACATACTATCGTGGAGTTTCGCGTTCGACGCGACGTTTGTAGAAAAAAATGTTTGCGTCTTGTTAAACTAGAACGATTGCGAAAAAATTTGATATGCGCGAACATCGAGAAATTTGCGATATTTTTCGAGACCGGCGATGCGCTGTTTTAATGAATGGTTGTGGTAAAATACTACACAGGATACGTCACGATTCTTCCCGCCATGTTTTCACTCGGCGTTACAACGGGTTCGAATGCGTTCAAGTGTCGCTTATCGGAGCTACTGGAAACGTTTCTTTCTTCTAGTGTAATATACATATACATACATATATCTTACTCTATTCCTATTTAACCTATATTATACCCATCTTGAATCGAATCGATTTCCATAAAAATCTACAATGCTCGTCGACGAGGTAAACAGAAGAATTACTGTCTCTGGTAACGGTGAAAATAGAATGTTTATACTATAAGAATTATTCCCTCTATGGTACCGAAAGAAAACTCTCTTAAAACGATTAAAAAATATGGTAGCGAATAACGTTATGCCATTCAAAATGTTAAAACCGCAACGAAGATGCGATCGTTGCTCGTCGCGCGATACTTGCAATTTAAATCGCGACGATTCTCGATCCCGATTCGATTCCACCTCCTCGACGACGTTCGTTCCCTTCGACGAGAGACATTTCTACAAGACGGATAAAAACGCGAGCCTCCGTCGTTGAAATCTCCTCGGTTCACGCGACGCGCAATCAATCGATTCAAAGTCTGCGCACGATCGTCGGGAGGAACATGCCGATCAACAGGGACGCCACGGTCGTCGTGGCGGCGACACCGACGCTCGACGCCCCCGATAGATTGAGTTTCTTCGCTAGATCCGCCGGCACGTCGACGTACACCTTGCTCACTCCGATCTGTTTGATCAACGTGGACAATTGGTCGGCGTCGACCACGTCTTTCTCGTTCGACCAGACGGTCAGAGTCGCGTTGCTCGAGCCGGGGCTCTTCTTGATCAACGACTCCATCGCTGCGACGTCGTTCACGGCCAGTGCAGCCCTTACGGGATAAGTTATCGGCTGGGTCACGTTTTGCTCCTTCAGAACGTCGATCATCGCCTGGATCTGCTTCGTCGTGTACCCATTCTTGGTGCCGTTCTGCGCGGCGTCGTACCTGAAACGGTGAAACGTTGCCAGCCCGTTCTCGAACCTAAACGCGTCGATCTTACCTGGTGGTCCAGCCGACGGACAATGTGTAATTCGTGAATGCTTTGGCTCCGGACAGGAAAGCCTTTGCGTCCACCGGTAGGGCAGTCGCGTTCACCGGTCCAGGAAGTATGTCCGCGTTGAGGAATACGGGGAACGCGAGCTGAAAGCGAACCAGTTGCTCGATTAATGGCGAAGTCGAAGTAGGACGAGTATGGGTTAAAAAGACGCAAGGTTAGAAGGCGTATACGCGAATACCAAGAATTGTACGTGTAGCGGGAACCCTCGATGGTCAGGATTAAAATAACCCACGAGTCCTAGAATATACGTGGTTCGATCGAACCGTTCACTGCGAGGTGGTTCGCAAAGATCGCAGAAGTCGGTCTAAAAATACGCGAACGCGGGATACGTACTTCGTTCATTTTGTTTTCCAACACAGGCTTGCTAGCGTTGAAGGCCTCGATGCTCTTGAAGTCCAGCTTGATACCCTTGGTGGTGTTGCTATCTATGACCGTCTTCAGGAAATTTTGAAGCGTCAGATCGCTCGTCGTGTTGGGCGGATGCGCCATTATCGGGACGTTCATGTTGGTGGTGTTGGTGGTGTCATTACCCAACGAAACGTCAGCCTCCAACATCATGATGGCGTCTTTAAAAAGAAAAACCGTCTTGTTTCTGAGCGTCGTCTGGACGGGGCTGGATGGAACAGGGCGGGACGAGAGAGACGGAGATTCGTAACCGTGGCTGGGGAAACGCGAAAAAAGAAACTCGGCTGGAAACAGTAGTTGCACGAGTAACTAGAATATTGATCGCGTCTAAAGAGGCTGACGGATTCAACTCTTCTTCTCGAGTATTACGACCGTTTAGACCCTCGGTGTCGTCGAAAAGGTTGGAAAATATCCTCCTACCAGTCGCAACTTTTCTTTCCTTGGCATCGTCGATGCAAGCGGAACAAAATCAACTGCGTGCGTGTACATACTGCGTCGGGACAGACTATCTCGAGGATCACCACTTCTGCAAACGTGCTCGAGATAGATTGGATGTAATTTCTGAGAGACGGAGAACCGTAAAATTATGACGAAGGAATAATCGTCCGTAGGTGGGTTCGAGCAGCCAGTCGATCCGTAGAGCTGGAAGGAAACGCGCACGCAGTTGCTTCGTATACCTGCTCCGCCACCCACAACCGTACTATCCAAACGAATCTATTTTTCTTTATCTCCGCTTTATATCGCTGCATTTTGATTTACATTACCACGACGAGTGTAAGATCCGTACGTATATGTACGTATGTACGATACGTGTATCAAGCTCCTCTAAAAAAAAGCGATTTATAGCATCAAGGGTTAGGGGTTTCCTGTGTGCTGGTCGAAGAATTCAATAACGTTGGGAGGGTCAATCGTACAAGACTGATTACTAAGAGGTTGATGGGTAATTATCTCGGGATAATTAAATGATAAAAGTTTTCGATAATCGTTCGAGCGAACGTATAAGGGTTTAGGGGTCACGTGGCTGGCTTTCCAGCAAAGAGATTGATGTGTCCGATCGACCAAACGAGCGGGATTGCGGGATTTCGGGATTTAATTTAACACGCAACTTGATTCTTTCATCCGTTATCGTATTAAGAGAAGCAATGGCGTTTTCCTTCCCGATCGATAGAGAACTGCTCCATTAGTTGCTCTTATTTGTTTCCAGATAAAGTGGACGAAGTACTCGATGGATAAGACAAGAAACGAGGAGGGACGTTTGTTTTTCTTAAATGTTCGTCTAACTGTAACACGACGCGTTCCGATCGATCGAAGCGTAATTGCTACGACACCGGGTATGTCCAGAGATTCGTCCGTGAGTTTCTGGATCTGCGAAGATTCAAGTTTCGGCCGTGATCGCGTCACGTCGCGTCGGAAGGAAACACGTTCGCGGTCGCTTCCGGTTTTCGTCGCTAATGATACGATCGATCGGCCATTTCCAGGATCAAGGTTGCGCGTGTCCGAAGATCAACCTTCTGCCACGGCTGAAGTAGCAGAGTTCTCATTGACATTCACGAGAGACAGCACGGCGTGTTTCTCGAAAATCTTTTGTCGAGACAACAGCAAGCAACGGCCATGTATCGTTTTCCTGAATATTAATTACAGCGACGACGTCAAACGTCCTAAATATAATATTAGCGAGCAACCTTCGTGCCAATGCACGTAACGAGCCGAAACGTTTGTTCAACGTATAATTATTTGGCGAGGTTGAGGACGATCGAACACGTTCGACTCGCGATCGAAGCGCGAGGGAACGAAACTATCATTAAATTTATTCATCCGGGAATCGTTATTACAGCGTCGTTGGAAACCTCGGACCTTTGACACCATTTAAATTTCGTCGTCTCGCTTGGTAACGAGTCGCGGCTCGAACGCTCGACGAAGCTCGTTCCAACGACTTTAAAGAAGAAAGACCCGGACCACGGCAGGTATAACTTAGAAATACGATTCGGGATGACGAATTTTGGATCACTCACCATTTTTTAGCGCGATAGCGAGTTTCTCTTGGCTGTTGACGGCGTGAGCCCACGCGATCCGCGTCAGATTCCCATCGATGCTGGGAAAGAAACTCTTCGGGTCCGTGGAATTGTTGCACATGACAGCTTCTGAAACAGGAAAACGACCAGTGAGCGACACACTCGACCTTCCGCGTTAATGTTCTCGAAGGCACTCGTGCGTTGACCCAATATTCGAACGAGTCGGTCCATAATTGAACGGACTGCGAATTTCTCGCGTCGCGCAACGCGCGACGTTGCGATCCGGTGAGTTTTTGAGGGGGGGGGAAGGAGGGACCAAACGACACGGACGGACTCTCGGCCTACTTTGCTCGCTGCGCCTCGAGAGATCGATAATCGTATTCCTTCGTTACCGTCGCGTCGTTCGCCTTTCGGCGCTCCACAGACCCCGACGCGACGCTTTTACGTCTAGATCGCTGCCAAGCTAATCCCTTGCCTCATCTTACGTTCACTTTTCACTCGAACGAGGACAGTAACGTTGAAAAAGAGTTTTTTCTCGCGATTCGTCCGTGCGTTCGTCCGTTTCGTGGTATCTCTGAACGCGCAGGTACATCCCGGAAATTTTACTCGAACGAATCGATACGGGGCGAACTCCCGATACAATAGTTTCAACCGACTGGTTTCCGGTCCAACGAAGGCGAGCAGGGTTCGCTCTGTGCGTTGCCCGATCGACTATCGAGCCAACGGCGATAAAACGAGCCGAGCGATTTTCCATATTTTGCGCCACGCGCGACCCAACGGGTACCGCGTCTATAAAAAAAAGTTGCTACGTTGTTAGTTTATTCTTGGAAACGAAGGTTGGACAAAATTAACATCGCCTCTTTTTTAACGCGAAATTTCACTTGCTGTTTGCTGTTCTTGTTCGGTTATATTAGCGACGATTAAATACGGCTCGGGGTATAATTAATTTCACGGAACGTTTCTCAATAAATATACGGAACGTCGTAGTTTGTGTATTTGGATTTCGAAAACGAGACGGTATCAGTCTACAACGCGTACAGCCTATCTACACTACGTCTGCGAACTTGTAACCGTTTTTATAATTTAACCATTCGTTGCGTAAGCTGACGCGATATTGTTAATTATCGGTTTCCTCTGTATCTCTAGCCTCGTAACATCAAGAAACGGTGCATTTACGCACAGAGAATCTGGCATTAGATTCGCCAGTGTAGAACGACGTTCAAGTTCGTGTAAGTATAAAGCCAAGGTGATGCGTTAGGAATGGTAGGTAAATAGTCAGTGAAAGACGCGGGAAGAACCATGATTCGAAAGCGAGGTCGTACGATCCGATTCACTTGGCACTGCTAATGTATACTAGTTTGCAAAATAAAAAAACAAATCCTTTACTTATGTAAACCACTTTGTATAATAATAACCCAGACCTAATTTTTTACTTGTTCGCGAACTATTTGACGAGCGAAACTATAAATATACGCGTTCAAGGTTCCCCGTGCAGATTAATTTGCGCTATCTTGATTTTCTCGTCCGCGTATCTCGAACGCTTATTTTCGAGCCATCGATTCCGTACAGTGCACCGTCTGTTCGCGAATCGGTCGTCGACCACGGCGCAACGAGGAAAATTGCAACGACAGCCCTTTTCCTCGTTCCTTAAGGTTCTCTGGTCCGTAAAGCGAGCATGGGCCTCGTGTGCTCGAGGTGCGACCGACCTCGCGCGAGTTAGACCGACGTCGTTCTAATTGGCTCAACAATCGATCGCCTGTCTCGGTAAGACACGACACTCCCTAATACGTAACCCGTCGTCTTTGCACGGCCAGTACTCTTTTCGATAAATCGATGTGCTCATCGTCGATCATACCCTTTTCCCGCCCTTTTCGTTTGATCGCCAAGTTTCTTCGAACTTTGAAACCTCTCGTACGCGCCAATGTTTACTCGTGGGCTTCGCGACAGCTATTATTATTATCATCATTCATTTATTAACAGGAATTTAGTGCAAAGGATGTAATACGTAATAAGAGCTACAAATGTGGATTTTACATTATCGCTTACAAAATTTTAACAAAATAAATTAATTATAGTTCGTTGCAACGATAAACTACATCGTTTGTTAACGAAACATTATTCTTTACTAGTTTTCATAGATAAGTCGCAACGCAACGCGTAACAGCGACCAAAGCTTCTGCAGACATTGAGATCGTAGTTTCTACAAACGTTCCGATGTTTGCGAAGCCGAGAAACGGTTTATGTGTTTACCTAAGATTCTGCTGTTGCGTTACGCGTTGTATTTCGTACGTAAAGTCTGCGCGCGGTCTTATTCTACTTCCGTGGCATAAAACCTCGATGCTCGATCAGGGGGTTATTCCGGTCTAGAGCGATCCATACGCGTACCTTTCTCGTTGCTCGAAAAGCTTACGTGCTTGCAGTAATGCTCGAACGTGCGTTAAAAATCGGGATCAGAGTCTTTCATTTATCCGGGACGAAGACACGAAATTCGAGACGTCCAACGAGGCGAACGAACGAGGTATACGCACCGAGTGTGAACGCGTCTCGTATTGCAGGAGTTTGCTCTCGCGATGTGTGGAAAAAGCTGCGCTCGTATCGAGTGACAAACCGCTAATGCGAACTAAAAACATTAATATTCCTCGTTGTGTCGTTGCGAGAGTATTAAGAAATATAAAAGTTCGCGGGTTGCATTTAATGGTTGTCGCTCGATATGCGCGCGATAATCGCTTTCAAGCACGATCGTCCACATTTTGTTTACGCAGCTGTCGTCTGCTCGTCGAGTCAACGAATCTATCGCATCGAATAAAAAGATAGCGTACGGTTCGCTCTTTCGAATATACGTTCGAGCAAAGCATTTGCACGTAGTCGGCGGTATAATAGCGAAAATAAATTTCTATCGCGGTAATCGTGTCCAGAACTCTCTTTTACGGAGATCAATCGTCGTTGGACGCGATTCGATCGATACCCTATCGATAACGGAGTAGCCTCGACGCGATACTGATCCGACAGATTGGGCGGTTATTTGTTTTTCGTACGACGCGATATCGTACAAGTTTATTGACATCGCGCGATACGCTGTGAAACGTCGCGTTGTATCTCGTAGTCTCGATTATAGTATCACTCGTGACGCAATTCGCCGTCAACGCGATGTAATCGCGTAATTTTTAATCCGCCGCGTTGTTGTACCAACGCACGTACGAAATAAAGGAATATTTTTGAAAAGAATGAAACGCGTGGCGAGTTCGAGGAGCCTTGGGTTAGACGATCGACCGCTCAGCCAACGTCACCAGTCTTTTATTCCTTTCTCTCGTTACACCTAAACTCCTTTACTCCGTTGGGTATGGAGGACGCGATTCTACAATATTATTCCAACTACGAGCAAAGACAGCTTACACGCTGTCTACTTTAACAACGTGTGTATTCGGTACGAAATGTTTACCGTACACACGAGCACACTAGCATCGGAAGAGAGAGAGTTACGAACGTTTCGGAATGGCCACGCTCATTGTCGAGTTTCAAATTCTTATCTATACGCGCGGCCATAGCAATATTCTACGAGCATCGATATTCTGCTGTCTCGTTTACCCTCGTGACTCATTCTACATATGTACATGCATGTCATGCGGTTATTTTAAACTGTACGGAGATATCGGTATCTAAAGGTAAATTATTCGAAGGTAGTACTTGCGTGCACGTATGATCCTAAACGAGGCGACACCGTAGATTCGATTTTAACACTAGGTTTACGGACACTCGTTGCGCATATTTTTATTGTATCTCGCTGTGTTGACAGTTACATTAAAATGCAATTTTTCTTTTAATCAGAGTGTATATTCATATCGTTACATCAATTAAATCCAACGTAAATTACTAACAAATAATATTTAGGAGTTCTGTAACGTATTCCGTAAACCTAGTGTTAAAAGAGACGATCACGACAGGTATTCCGTATGGAAACGTCACGGAACCAGTTTCTTTTTTTCTAAAAGAAGGTGTTTGGGCCTCGGTGAGTCGACCAGGCTCATGACACAGACCGCGTTTCAGTCAAGGCCAGCATGGGCAAAGTTGGAGTTTTGTTAAAGGAACAATGTGTCATAAACTCGATCGGCGAAGGCAGTCTCGAGTGGTTGCAACCCCAACGAACTGTCGAATGGACCACACGTGCTCGAACTCGTATACCTGGGCCTCCCTTGTTCGTAGTTAGTTTTGCACACGGGCCCAGGGACCGACTCACGCGGTGGAAAATCCCCGGAGTTATCAAACGTAGCGCCCTCCATCTTGGACGCCAAGCTACGTTGACATCGTTGCACCCCCGCCACGGAAACTCTTGGTGGAAGGGGGTTGCAAAGTGCCAACGCCTTGGAAAAACGACGGAACGCCGTCACTTAGTTTTTCACTTTCGAAACACTTGGAGTTTTAGCATAGAGCCAAACTTCGTTTTTCACCGCCAATAGCTTGATTTTAGACTCCAGAATTCTTCGTCTTTAGCACAGACGCTAGCTTAGACTCGAGACGTGAGTTTTAGTATAGAAAACCAATTCGTCTAGTTAGTCCCCCAAAAAGGAGTGGTCTTAGTTTTAATCGACACGCCATGTTCAATCTTTCAATATTCGAACGAGCTCGTCTCAACCACGTATTGAACAGAAGGTATGTAACTCTTTGGTAGAACTCGCCGCGACTCGTGTTCGCTCGAAAAGGATCGAAAGATGGTTGAAAAATGTACCGCGTAACCAGTTCCAATGGGTTTGCGTGGCTGAGATTTAAGAGGAAGTATGTATGTCGCGCACGTGCGCTGTATCGTAAGAATCATGATCGTCGGGGACGCAACGAGCCTCGAAACGCACAGCGTGTACAAACTCTTTCGGTTAGCGGCGTTCGAAGAAACGTATACGCGTAATTCGTCGTCGGAACGGAACAAACTTATACCGTCAGCGTTGAGGAAAAGTTTCGACCAATAAAAGCATGTATTTCGAAACGAGAGAATGAAAGAGGAGTCGTTCGCTCGCAACTCGTTCGCTGGCAGTCGTTATCAGTTTGTGTTTTATCGCTGGCAAATATTTGATCGAGGATCCCTATGTGCGTTACTCTTATTTCGAGGAAATTAGAACGCGGTGTTTTCGGGGTTGGGTGTAACCGTATTAGACGCGACCGTGAGTCACTGTTCGCGAGCCAGATAAGAATGCAGTCATAGTCATCGAGGCCACCACCTATCGCGGTAAATTAACGCGCTATACTCCGCTGAGGAGAACGATAGATAGCGAGGGAAATAAATTCGGATTGTACAAGAGCGGTGGGCGACGTTCGCGTCGTTGAAATCGGTCTCGCGATCGCGATTCGACGTTTCAACCTCGTGTTGGATGACCAGTAGGCCAAATATCGATATGGCTCGTTGGTCACTAGGTTTAAGGGTCCTCCTCCCCTACTATTGCTAAGGTCCAGGGTCTCAGAGTTGCACAAGAAGTCTACGGGTGTTAACGCCTTGTCCAAGAGTCAAATTCCATTGCAAATTCCGTTATTCTTCATAGTTGTGTTAGAAAATCGAAATAAGCGAGCGGCTAAGACGGGCCACATGCGTTTTCTCAACGCACGACCCCTCTCAAGGAAAAGTTCCTTGAGAGCAGGGGTGTCAAAGAAACAAATCCGCCTCAGGCTAGAAGCAAGACATTCTTGTAGCGACCATCGCCTTGAACGGGTCAATAAAGAATCGAATTTTATATTGAAGACGCCCACATCATTTATCTGATTCTTACAGTTGAGTTCGGCGTGAATTCAACGCAAATAAACTCTTATAATACAAAAGGAGCATTACTCGACCACCCGGATTCCAACGATCGAAGGAGTCGTTCGATGATCGACGATCGATCTGCCGAAATACGATGCACCTGCGAGCATTTTGCAATTTTCTCGACATGCAGACGAAGGAAGCCTCGTAGTTTCCAATTTATTTGTTTCAACGGTTCGTGTGCTGTCCGTGTCCGCAAAGATCTATACCTAATCGTATTTACGCGCTCGAGTCGACGCGCTTTGTAGCCTGCTTATAAATTACACCGGACCCCCGTTAATTAGACCGCCAACGGATGGTTCGTGTTTATTATCGTTAAATAGAAAACCCGTCGTATCGATCCCCGACTCGGTCGATTAGGCTAATTAGTATTATTAATACGTCCGTAACGGGCTCGGTCATGCAACGATTAATTTTTTCCTTGTTAATTGTTTGCACGCGAGTCACTCCCGTTTTTATCCGCGCCTCGTCTTCGTGGTCGTTGCATGGAAAAATATTTGCGATTCGTACAAAACAGCGAAGACCCATTTTTTTTTTTTCAACGGGGAAAACCCTGTACGACGGAAACCCGCGTCTTTCCTCGATAATCCACTTTCCCCTTCCCCCCGTGTACTATGCAAACCGTGGAACGGTAACGTGCGGTATCGCGAGAACGATAATCGGATACTGCGTCGTCGAAACACAAGCATAAATCTCCGTTCGTTGATCCAACTACGCGTGCATGTGTATCACGGATTGCTACACGTATCGTTCCGTAGGAGTCGATCGGAATATCTTTGGCGACGGTATATTTTTTGCACTGTTTTCGCTCGTCGCGTTATCCCATGTCGGGGCACGGTCAACGCGTTAATATCTATTTTTAAAAGCGAACCGCGTTACGAACAGCGCCGCGGTTCGCTCCGTTGGAAAGCGCTGGAAAATGCTGGGCACACCGACGCGAAGAAAGGAGAAACGTCGAGTAAAAAAGTCCGAAGGAAAGCGGCTCGGAGACGATGACTGTACAACCACGCGCGTAGGTTACGTTCCGAGCGATAGCGGTTGCAATTAATCGCGTCTCGTTGCAAAGATAAACAAACGACAGTCCCGAGGCGTTAACGACTCGCTCGTTGCACGTAATATCACGCCATCCGGAGTTTCGCTCGCGAGATTCTCCCAGGAAAATTCGTAGACCGAGAAACGCGCGCGCTCCTCCTCCGCCGCGACCTTAATATAAAATCGATGAGAAACGAAAAGTCCAAACGTATCGCGAACGATTCTACCAGATTTCGTGGATTCGAGCGAGGAAACGATCGAGAGACTCCGGGGTGTGATATCCAAGGTAATTGGCTGGAGACACCATGGCCTGTCCCGAAATTGGAACCGTTCGTCCCTTATCGTTTACCCCGATCGAATGTGGGCTTGGATCGATGGAAATTATTCGCGGGAAACGCGTATCGACGATTGGTTAGGACGTGTGGACACTTACGGATCGCTGTCACCAGAAAAAGGCACGTTATCGCTGTCCTGATAGCCTTGGTCATGGTCCTTGGCGGCGTACGGTGTATTTATTCGCGAAAATGTCGTGGGGTGGACGAGGTCTGAGTAAAACGAGGTGCACAGGCTACTGGGAAAGACGGAGAGAGTATGATCGGCGCGGCTCTGGTCGCTGAACGACACCCGGTCAACTCGGCAGCCTCGAAACGACTGACTGTCGTCCCCCGTAGTGGCCGTAGTTCCGTGGCGTCGACCGATCCTCCAAATCCCAAGCGTAGATACACGGAACACGGTGCCGCGTGCACGGCTAAGGCACTCCTGGCCATGTTCAAGCGGTGCATAGGACACATGCCGCGTGCACACATGCGTTCGAGGCGCAGAACGCTCCCAGACACTCGGTGAAACGTGGCCTGAATCGACCGACCGTGGGAAGGGTGGCCAGGTACGAACGGGAAGGGCCCTCTCTCGGCGCCAACGGGCCCAGGACGCGTGAATCGAATTAAAAGATTCGAGTCGAAGGAAAGGATACGCAGCGTCCGACACGACCGTCTCTTTCGAACGCGTACCATCGCTCCGGTAATCGATTATCGACCTTCGATTACCTCCCGTCGTAAAACGTTTTCTCGCCATTTCTGATTACCCTCTGTTTCTGTTTGCGCGCGCCTCTCCAACGCCGGAGTCTGCGATCCGTTCTTACTTCGTTTCCGGTCTCCGTCAATCTTTCTCTTGTTTCATCGATCGTCCGGGGCAAATTTTTCCACGTTCTCTGTGAAAATAGCAGCGGTTTGCGGGGAATCGTGGACGCGGTCTCGGGCGTCATTAGCATTTTAAAACGCGTCCCGGCCTTTCGCGAAAAATTTCCTGCTGCGCGTGACATGTGTTCGACGCACGAACCCCGAACGAACCATGAACGGCGACGACAGGGGTTGTTTTTCGAGGGTCGTGGCTGGAACATCTGTCGAGGGGCGAACCGACTACCGACGATTTCGCAACACTTTTGCCATCGAGTTCTTTTCTATATATTTTTCATCGTCCTGCGTCCAAGAAAACATTACGAAAATAGCTATTGCATAAAACTTTTCATCGATACAATTACCAGCGTTTTCGATACCTCGACAAATGGAAGCTACGAACGATTTGATTACCCTCCCTTTAACTCCGTTAGCTACCAACGATCATAAACGTCATCCTTACCGAGAATCTTTTGAAGCACCTGTTGGTATTATTTACCAAGAATGATATACCATTTTATTTGTACGATTAGTCAACGGCTTCCGGGATGGAAAATTACAAATTGCTTCGATCGAATTCGATTAAATTCGAAATCTGAAGGCCTAGCCTTCCATCGGTAATGTTACCAACGTGGAGATTCGTGTTCGATCGATTCTTGGAACGTTTGCAGCACGTGTCCACGAATTGATAAGATTCTAAGCCCTTATCGATGAAATATTCAGTATATTTTTTACGTAGATCGTTGGATCTACATCAAATAATCGTGAAATAAGTAGATAAGGTAAAGAGAAAGTTATCGAATCGATGACTGAACGGCAAACATAACGAGATTAATTTAATCGACTTTGGAACTTGTCTTCGACTCGTTCTCAGTGCCGAATCGATGATGTGCGAGGAAACGTAACGAAACGGAACTCATCGTTGCGTACCGAATTTTCCAGATTGATGCTGAGCTGGCTTTGTTGCGCGTGCTCGTCTCGTGTCCGTCTGTTGTACGAACACGGGCCATAGTTCTCGGAATACAATAGAAAAATGGGACTTTTCCCGAAACAATAGGGTTTGCTCCCCTTTGTCGCGCGAGTCGAAGGTTTCTACCCTTCTCCGGAGCTTTCGAGCTGCTGCACAGTACCAGCAATTTAAATATACCATACGATGATAATCTATTAAATAGAAATACCAGCGACAGCAATGGCTTCTTACGTTTTGTTCAAACGAAAACTCTAGACCGACGCATAACCAGTGATACCAGATTGAGCACCGAGTGCACTACTCACACTATGCCAAGATCACGCGTACGTGAGCACAAAGAATTCTATGTGTTCTCGTCATATTTTACCTTTCTTTTCCTCTCCAAATCATTACCTTAGTTATAAGACTCCCTGAAACTCCTTGGAATTTTTGAACCCCTTTGGAAGTCCTGAAACACCTGGAAAGGCGTGAAACAGCTGGAAAGTCCTGAAACTCAGAACTTTGCTAAAAATTCAGGACTCCCCAGTTGTTTTAGGACTTTCCAATTGTTTCAGGACTTCCAAAGGGGCCCCAAAATTCCAAGGGGTTTTAGGGCTTTTCAGTTGTTTCAGGACTTTCCAGTTGTTTCAGGACTTTCCAGCTGTTTCAGGACTTTCCAGTTGTTTCAGGACTTTTTTCTCGAATTCTCGATTTTGCCAACAGGTACGAGAAATTTAAAAGTTAATTTTTGATTTTGGCAGCAAGTACGAGGACTGGACACTTTGGGAATCCAATTTTAACCGGAAAAACGATCTCTTAAAACTAAGGCAATGATTTGGAGAGGAAAGGAAAGGTAAAAATGATGAAAACACATAGAATTCTGTTAAATTATATCATTTATTGCCATAGATTTACATTATACATAGGAATAATAAAAAAATTCTTCGGAGAATCGAAAAAGAGGGCATGCGTCAGTTTGTCTTTGTCGACTTTCCGTAACTCCACGAGCTCACGTACGCGTGATCTCGCATGTGTGAGTAGGGCACCGTCGGTGCTTTTCTGGCACCTCTGCGCATAACTCATATGCTGGATTCTTGCATCTACTGATAGTAGGTTTATTCGTATGCCTGGTTTGTGATTATAGACCACAGAGACGAACATCTTATGGTGTTTCGTTGCCCAAACTGGAGTTTTCCTCGCTTTACAGCGTTCAGGAACAACTTTTCGAATAATCTTAGAATTTCTACGTATTCTCCATTAAAATCCTTACACCTTCCGATGGGAAAACGTCCAAGTTTGTCGAGAAATAGTACGGTTTCTCCAACGCGAGATGGCGCCTATACGCAAAAATGCGCCATCTAGCGTCGAAGATAGCGAACTATTTCTCGGCAAGCTTGGTCGAACGGGATAAAGAATTCACGATCACGTTGACATAATCTCAGACGTATATTGAAAATTATATGCGCTTCTCAGAGAACTGTCTCAGATACATGGTTGCAGAATATCAACCAAGTCTCTATATTAAAGAAGTATCCAAAAAATTTAAAATTACGCGCGTAAGCAATATTGATTATTATCTATGCGGAGTCTTGTGGAAAATGGAAGAAAGTAAAACGCAGAAGTAAAGGAAAACCATCGTATTTACTTTTATATAATGCATCGTTCACACTATTACATTATTTACAATTGGCAGACGGTAGTGGCACTTAAACAGATTGGAATTGGTCCAAGGGTTCGTTTTTTTTTTTTATTCCTCATGATCCGTTAACATCGTTAGCCCCCTTCGTGGACTTCGATGGGCGGTAATTACACGTCGCGTGTACAATCTTTACTCTTTCGTTTCCGTAACGGTAGTTGGTACCGGCTTGTCGTCGCAGAGGACCCAGAAAGAAACGCGGATTAACGCAACGGCCGTAACAATCATCTTCGCGAACGTGATGCACGTGGACCAAAGGTGATCAACCGCGTCTAAGACCATTGTCGGTACCGTCGACGACGACGGTAAATTGTTGCGCTAACGAGCACGAAAAGAAAAGAAAAAAAAAAAAAGAAGAAGAATCATTAGGATTATAGTTGCAAATTACTCGCCGACAATTATCGATCTTCCAACAATCCTTAAATCGCGACAGTGTATTCGCGTCGATGAATTTATTCACTCTAAAACACAGCAAAGAATTTCTGATACACGATCGCAGTACGGTACGATACGTCGTTACGAAGCGCATAGAATAAACCCGTATTAAACAAAGCGTCGCGACATGGTGATTTGAACGCGGATAAAAAAAACATAACGAACGTGTAATGATAGATATTAATCACGCGATAACGATAATTCGCCTAGAGCACAGTGGTTTCGAGTAAACGATTACTCGATCGCTTCGACCACCATGGCGCTTTCGTATCCACGTTGCTCAGCCCCTCATAAATCGCTCGCGCTTTCGAAATTTCAGGTCTGAATTTTTCCATAGGAAAGGGCGATGGACTTGGTCCACGTTTACACGCACATCGTTACCCGTGATCCTCTCATCGATCACGATTCGTGCTTCGCTGCGAAATAGGTCACGGACGATTCGAACATAGTACGCGGCTAAAGTAACGTGTTGTCGTTCGTCGGATCGGCCAGCGAGAATAATGGCGGTGGTCGATGCCGTATAGGATCGGTAGGCGTTCGTTCCGGACGAACAGCGTTTGTCAGGCGTAAGTGAAACAAGTCAGAGCAACAACAACGCACGTTCGCGCAGCAACAGTCCACGGAGTCTCTGTACACTTTCTTGCATTTCCCGGCTCTCGTCTCGCTCGAGTTTTTCACGCTTGCTTTGGATGCGGCGCGGCCGCCGCTGGCTCCGACCGGAAGCACGACAACAGGAAACCGGTGTACATGGCGAACAGGACGGTGATGGCGATCAGCATGTACATGTAGATGTTCAGCTCCGGTTGACGGTACCTGTTCTTGCGCAGCCATTCGAGCACGTCTTGTTCCTTGTGCATGTCGCCTTTTACCAAATAAGAAACATTTATTTATCGAATATTCGCCGAAGCAAACACTTCTCGAAAGAGAAGTCAGTATTGGAATCACACAACTGTTTTAGCAACCTAAAACGACCTCGATTCTATGGCTGTATTTTGTCAATTTTTTTCTCGACTTTCGACCGCTGATATTAATAAATGTGAACGCGATCTCGTTCGATCCCGACCAGCGCGCGCTGCATTGGACCTTCCTCTTTCGAACGAGACCTCATACGACCCAAAAGCTGCTCGTATAAGGGCAAAATCTCTTATTTCGTAAACCCATATTTCGGGGCAAATTTTGTCGGTATACAGCGCCGCTGCATTACCCGTCTCTACCCCCTTAACTCCTTAGCTTGCAATTACGTCTCAGAGACGTGATAAGTCAACCTGGTCAACCATGAATAAGACGACTCAGAGACGTGATAAGTCTACCAAGTCAACCACGAATAAGACGTCTCAGAGACGTGATAAGTCTACCGGGTCAACCACGAATAAGACGTCTCAGAGACGTGATAAGTCTACCTGGTCAAACATGAATAAGACGTCTCAGAGACGTGATAAGTCTACCTGGTCAACCACGAATAAGACGTCTCAGAGACGTGATAAGTCTACCTGGTCAACCACGAATAAGACGTCTCAGAGACGTGATAAGTCTACCAAGTCAACCACGAATAAAACGTCTCAGAGACGTGATAAGTCTACTGGGTCAACCATGAATAAGACTTCTCAGAGACGTGATAAGTCTACCAAGTCAACCACGAATAAGACGTCTCAGAGACGTGATAAGTCTATCCTGCCAATCATGAATAAAACGTCTCAGAGACGTGATAAGTCTATCCTGCCAATCATGAATAAGACGTCTCAGAGACGTGATAAGTCTATCCTGCCAATCATGAATAAGACGTCTCAGAGACGTGATAAGTCTATCCTGCCAATCATGAATAAGACGTCTCAGAGACGTGATAAGTCTACCTGGTCAACCACGAATAAGACGTCTCAGAGACGTGATAAGTCTACCTGGTCAACCACGAATAAGACGTCTCAGAGACGTGATAAGTCTACCAAGTCAACCACGAATAAAACGTCTCAGAGACGTGATAAGTCTACTGGGTCAACCATGAATAAGACTTCTCAGAGACGTGATAAGCCTACCAAGTCAACCACGAATAAGACGTCTCAGAGACGTGATAAGTCTATCCTGCCAATCATGAATAAGATGTCTCAGAGACGTGATAAGTCTATCCTGCCAATCATGAATAAGATGTCTCAGAGACGTGATAAGTCTATCCTGCCAATCATGAATAAGACGTCTCAGACACGTGATAAGTCTACCGAACCAACCATGAATAAGACGTCTCAGAGACGTGATAAGTCTATCCTGCCAATCATGAATAATACTACTCAGAGACGTGATAAGTCTACCGGGCCAAAGCCTGGTGTCGTTTTTGGCACAGTTGAAAATTAAATCGTAAGGCAAGGGGTCAAGGAAACGAATCGATCTCTGAACCAAAGACGCCTCACCTCGATAGATACTCGGGAATCTTTTGCGAAAGTAGACGATGGCAGGGAGCTTGGTGACGCCCCATTTCCTGGCGTATCTTGGATCGGCCATCTTGACGAACGTGATGTCCAAGTTGTCCGTCTCTCCGTCGATGTCCTCCAGTTTCTCGTTCACCTCCTCGCTCTCTTTGTTGTCGTGTTCGTCTGAAAAGCGATCGCAGTATCTCAGACGCGTTTTGCTTAACCGTGTTTGCTTAACCCAAATAGTCGAGAGAAAGGGACGTTTAATTACAGAAGAAGACGGCCAGGAATTCGTTCTCATCCAGCAGCTTGTCCAGCATCTTCTTGTTCACCTCCTCGATCTCGTTCTTGATCTCGAAAACGTCCTGGGACGTCAGCCACTGGAGGATCTTGTCCTCCTGCGTTAGATCGCCGTCGTAGATCAGCGGGGTCTTTTTACGGAAATAAACCAGCGACGGGACGTTGAGAATTCCGTATTTCTCGGCAGCCTCGGTGCCAAACACCTTCACGAAATCTATACCGAACAAGTCCGCCTCGCCGTCGATCTTCTCCAGAGCTTCCATGATGTCGTTGCACTCGGGACAGTCTTCGTCGTCTACGCGTATTCGAACGAAACAAAGGTCGATCAGTAAATTGTCTAATTTAATCGGGAGTCTATGATACAGGGCACGATCCAACTGTGGAAACTCGTTTCGTCGCTTCGTCTCTTGGCTACGAGTGCTCTCTGTGGCAGAGTTCTTAAAAACTGGCTAGACAAAGTCAGGGATACAATTACAGTCACCATCACCTTTTCACGTTAGTAACAAACAATAACGATACCTGTTATATCAAACCTTTATGAACATTCTAGGCATTTTTCGAGTCGAAAACTGATCCTCGTGGCGAGTAGAATAATCTCCCACGGTTTGGCTACTTATTTTTAGGGCAGTTTCTATAACTTAGAACGTACAGAAGAAAACTGCTAGGAACGGAGACTCGTCGAGAAGCCTCTCCAGCATCCTCTCGTTAACGGATTCGATCTCGTCCGCCAGTTCTCGATTGTCGTCGTCGATCAACCATTCGAGAACCGACTGTTCGTTCTGCAAATCACCTGTCGAACGTCAACGATTAGAAAAATCGATCGTACGTAGCGTTTCGTCGCGCGGAGATCTATCGAATATTAGAAACCTTCGAACAAAAGCGGATTGCCGTTTCTGAAGTAGACTAGGGCGGGGAACGTTTTGATCGAGTATCGTTTCGCCAGCTGGGGGTCCTGAATTTTCACCAGGTGGATACCGAACACGTCGCACTCGTCGTCGATCTTCTCCAATCCCTCCAAAATTTCGTCGCATATGTGACAGTTTTGCTTGTCTACAACCAAAACAGTTCTATTTTCCTTCGTGCTTATCGCGACGAGAGTTGTCTGCGTAAAGATCTTACAGAAGTAGACCGCAAGGTACTGCGTCTCCTCGACAGACGTTTCCAGCATCACTCTGGTTATCAGTTCGATCCGATCTTCGGTTTTCTGAGTGATCAGCCATTGCAACACTTCCTCCTCCACTGACAATTCGCCTGAACGAAAAGTAACAATTGCCTACATGATTCCTAATACTTTCTTTCGCTAATACGAACCTTCGAACATGTTGGGCACTTGATTCTCGAAATACACTAGCACGGGGAACTCGGTGACTCCGTAATCCTCTGCTACTTTATAGTCCTGGTTAAAAAAGGGAAAACTTAAAGATTGTTCGTTCGGAGTAGTTTTGTTTTTCAGAGGTTTTTGCTTACTTGTGTCTTAACGAACGTGATACCGTGCCTGTCGCAATCGTCGTCGATATTTTCCAGCTCCTCCAGAATCCCCACGCACTGCTCGCAATCCTCGACGTCTAAAGAGAAACTATATCGTTATAAGATTCACGACACTGTTGGGAAAAAGGCAGTCTATTTAGGGAGTAATCGTGGTTTTTGCTCTTCAGGTTCACGGACGATGATCTAAGAGAGCTGCTCTCCTAAGTGGGAGGGGACTAACTCTATCGAAAAATGAGACGATCGCACAGTGTAAAATAGATTCGTCTAAAATGAAATCTAATCAAACATGGACAAACGAAAGGCATGCTGATCAGCGGGGTGTCTAGAATACTATGGTTCTCTCATGCTCTCTAATCGTGCAGGTACACCTGTGCGAGAGTGTGATCGTGTGTGTGTGGTCGTTCGTGAAAAATAATATTCCCCGGATTGGCGGTTCCAACCTGAAAAAATCAGTACTCTGTAAAAATCGAGACAAAAATGAAAACAGAAGAATCTAAAGATCTAAAAAAAACAGGTATATTCGTGAAAAGTGTGGTCGAAATGTGTCGTGCTGTGTGTGCGCACACGGAGACAAACGCTGGATGAACTATCTGGAACACAGTGTCTAAAGTAACAGGTTTGCAAATCAACTTCTTTCTGTGTTCACGTGTACCATCGAGTTCCTCGGTCGCCTCGTGTTCGACGATCCTGCGCTCCTTGTGGCGGCCCTGCTTGCGTTGGTATTTTGCCTGACACAAGTCGCAAAGCGTTCTGTTCCCTGCGGCATTAGCAGACAACGTGTACAGCCTCGGACGTGCGGACAAGACAGATTTAAAGACAGTGGCCGATAGCAACTGATCACGAATAAACGTGTATTGCGACGAGACAGAACAGAAACAGTACGAGACGAGTAAATTCGGTTAATCATTGCGACACATCAAGCTCCACGTGAAAGCGCAACACGAAACGACGGTTTTGCGTGAGTATCTACATGTACAACAGTTTGAGTCTCGTTCGAGAATTCGCGTAGTTGTTACTCGACACCGTTGCTTCCAAAGCAGGAATTAATATACGCAGGCGTGTTGCTGGCTGCGGTCAGCAGTTACCTTTTGCTTAGTAAATAGTAATCGACAGAGGCGAATAGGAGAAGAGAGGGTATTTATCGGAAGTATTTGAACGATTCGATTGTCAATGTCGCGAAGAAATGTGGAAAGAGCGGGAGTATAGTGATATACGCAACAGGCTAGTGATACATTCCTGCTTGGCAGCTGACCGTGACTGAAGGACTGTCAGACTTACAGAAGTATACCGCCAACGATTCCGATTCTCTTATCAAATTTAGAAGATCCTCCCCTTCCAGATCCTCGATTACCTCACCGGATGGATCCTTCTGCGTCATCAGCCACTGGAGAATCTGCTCCTCGTCGTACAAATCACCTTTGCCCGGCAACCAAACGAATCGATTAGACCGCAATCGCATGTCGGAGCAACGATATCGTTTCAAACGAGATTGATACCTGCGTAAATAACTGGCTCCTTCGAGGACATCTTAAAGAACAATATGGCGGGCAGGGCGAAAACACCGTACTGCTTGGACAACTGTTTGTCGTCGATTTTCACGAACTTTATCCCCGCTCCGTCAGCCTCGTCGTCGATGTGCTCGATCTCTACCAGCACCCTGCCGCACTGTTTGCAGTCGTTGCTGTCTAAACATAAGCGCGCCACCGCGTTCGACATGCTCGAAAGTCTCGTTTCGTGTATTTGATTTGAATAAAATATGCAAAAATTTTAAGACCAGCCTACTCCGATGATCGGAACCGAAATCATCGGACTGGATACTCACAGAAGAACACAGCCAGATAATCGGTCGTCTGTCGTATCTTCTGGAACATCTTCTTATTGATACGTTCGATGTGATCGGTGAGCTCCATGTTCTCGGGGTTCGTCAGCCAATCGAGGATCTCCTCCTCGTCGTCGATGTCCCCGTCGTAGTTGATGTTCTTGCCCTTCCGGAAGTACGTGATACCCGGCGGATTCCTAAAACCGTACTTCTTCGCCATAAGTCGATCCTTCATCCTGACGATCTTTATTCCGTACTCGGCAGCCTCGTCGTCGATCAGCTCGACGTGCCTGAGCACTCTGGGACTCTCTGGATCTTCCTCCTTGTCTACGGGGATCGAGATATTCCCTTTCGTTTCGAAATTACTCCCTAGGAACCCCTTAAGTGTCCATTCGTCTATTTACGCTTCAAATAGGAGGGGATTATAATGATTCTCTTCAAAACACGCGTGTCTATTTAAAAAACGACTAAAGATCGGTCACTTAAGGGGCGAATTTGCTTTCACGAACGATGAATTATGGTTAGAAAGAAATTAGTGCGATAAACGCGAACTGGTTTTACTTTCCCGATAGTTTATGATACTTTATTAGCGGATCTATGAATCGTTATAGTCTTGTTTAGTCGAATGTGTAATCTTTACTTACCCCCGAACGAATGAATCTCAAATAGCGTGAATTTCAAAAAACCGCGACTTACTGTGAAGAATAACTGATAATCCCGCGTTACGTTTTCACCGAGAAAATGAATGATTTCTTACAGAAAATGACAGCCAGGAATTCTTTGGTCTCGATATACGTGGCGAGGGTGTCACGATCGATCTCCTCGATGCTCTCGTCCGTCTTCTGCTTCACCATCCAATCGAGCACCTCGCTCTCGTCGAGCAGATTACCTGAGTTATCGTAACGTTGCTCGAATGTATTCTAATTCTATTTAAACCCATTCGTTCTAACGAATAATAATTTTTCAAGAAGGTTCTGTTAATGGGAATATATCTTTACGCTTCTTTCGTTAAATAAGATTCGGTTATAAACGATCTGGAATGGCTATTTGATTCGATCTTAAGGTCGAACGAGTCCTGGAGATTTCTGGATGCTGAAAGTAACTTACCCCGCTCTGGAACTCGACGTATCGCGCGATTATTCGCGTGCCACTGTATCTACCGGGTCAGAGACGGGCAAAACGTGATCCAATTACAATTACAATTACATTTCGTCTGTGAATCGTTCGCGTTGCGATACGGATATCGGATCGTGCTGCTTTCTTGAAACTAAAAGATCGAGGTTAAGCGAAACGTCCCCTTGTGCACTTATAAAGTGGCGTTAAATTTTTTCCCCACGATTATGACAGTGTGAGCCCCGGTATCGTGAATGTGTATTTAAAGTGTAGGCAATGCTTCGACGAGAAACGTCGAATCACATTTCTAACGAGCCTTCGGTTAGCATCGCCTAGGAACTAATTATCCGATCGGTATTATGACGATGAAGATAATGGGGGGTTCGTATTGCTGGATTTGTACAATGCGATACGGGGTGGAATTACTTCTATCTACCATTAGCAGTGACGGGCGAAGCAAATACAAAGGATACTAATTGGTACTAGGAAACATATTTATTATCGAGTTTATTATCGTACATGTTGCTCTTATGCGATTAACGAGGACGCCGTTTCGGCGGCTTATATCGGCAGAGTAATGCGCAAACGTCCACGAGCAATAAACAATCGATGCCCGATAATCATGATCACAGACGCAGCGCGATAATTAAATCCCTTCATTTTTCTGTCCGCGAAATTGCCAATAAGCTATCTACGAAATTTACTTCGATCCATTGAACGTTCTCAAAAGTATAAAACGGGTGGTTCGGATTTAACGATTCGTGACGAATCGATCGAATCGATCGAAATTAATTATCGCGCCCATATATCAGTGACCGTGACACGAGTACAAGATTATCGGCACATTCGGTTGATGAGACGTGGTAGCGTGTACAGAAATCAACGAATAAAATACTCGTATAAATAAATAAATAAATAAATAAATAAACGGGTGAGCGTTTCTTGCGTTTCCTCTTTCTCGTCGGGTCCACGCGAACCGTTCGAAAAAAGATAAAAAGAACAAGACGTTTCGATCTTTTTTTTTTTTTATTTTTTTTTTTTTTTTTTTGGTTTTTTTCATGTTTTAGTGCTGGCTCGTGCGGCCCAATAAGCGATAAAAGCGATTAGTGGTAGCGAGCGTGATAAGAAACGCACGTGTTCCTCGACGTTTTATCGTTGAGGAATTGAGGGTATATTTATGTCGATCGCCACGATTAAAGTAGCGCTAGAAAATGACTCGCGTCTGTTGATATGGATGTTATGTTTCATGTTCGTGGGAGATCAATCGTTTTATATAAATACAATCGAAAGTGTTGTATATCTTATCGATGGCGAATCAAGGGCTTTCCTACGAAACCCGATACTCTGAAACAAAATTGAGAAACATCCATCGTTCGTTCTCGATCAACACGGTCCGTCACGATCGCAAAGTAAAGTAGCCTACTTTGCGCGGGTTTCAATTGACATAAACATACTCTGAGAGATCTGCAGATTGATCAAGGAATTGTATAGACACGAATCCGTTTGCTTTAACCCTGGCGTGTGACTGGCAAAAGTGGTTGGTTAGCGATCTCGCAATAATCTCCCAGGCCGCTTGTTTCGCGTTCCAGGGTTAAAACGATCGATCGAGAGAGTAAAAGAAATTTTTTTTTTTCGTCAACGTCGCTACACAACCTGTACCGCGAGAATCTAAATAGGACCACCACAAAAACGACTACCACCTCCGTCGTCGTCGACGAGAGTATCTCGAAAATGCAACGAAACAGCGGTACCGGGTGTGGTCGCGACGTTGACGATCCACAAGAACGAATCGATGAACAATTTTTTGATCTGTTCGTTGCAAGAAATGCATGTATGACTATATTTCAAACCGGGGAACGTTGTTCAAGGTCCTGAGTCGGTATATAGAAACACCAGACACGAATTCGGTAACTGTCTCGAAGGGTTATTTAATTTCCTTAAAAAAGAAGAAACGATAAATGGCGCGAGGGGCAGGGGGGGGGAGGGCGCATGATCGTTGGATGATCCGCGACTATATGTACTTGGTATCGCGACGTAGATAGATGACTGTGCGTCGATGACGATAATGTTGATGGTTCGATGACGAAGATTACGATTAATGACGATGACACGATGTACTTTCAGGAACAAGATCGTTCGACGAACGAAACGTTTACAAGTCTCTCGGTTCAGTTCTTTAGCTCTCGTTGGACAGACGAAATCGTCGAATGATTCTGCCTTGACTTGGCTCTCTCGGCTTCGATTCGTCGGTTCTCTGTTCTCCCGTTTCGTCCTTCGTCTCCGGCACGCGTCGGTTCACCTCAATATTTAGACTTTCATGATGTACGGGAGTCCGGCCACAACTGCAACAGGCCACAACCCCGACACAACTCTCAGTGGGAGAAAAACTCTATCCTCACGATCCATACTTTTTTTTTTTTTTTTTTTTTTTAAGATCGTTAGTTACATTCTTCGTTTAGTTTCCCCTTTCTTCAGAGCCGGACGGTATAGTTGAATCGCGTCGAGTGGCGTTAATTATTACGGATTCGATCGACGATTACAAGGTTCTTGGAC